ATCATAAAGTTCCACAAAAACCTACACACTTTTCCATCTTTTGCAGCAGCCTGAATTTCAGAATGGATAGAATAATATGATTTGAAAATCTCCATAAGTGAACTGAAATCACAATCGCATGTATTAACATCATCTTGTCTCCTTACTAGAAGAAGCTGTGTTAGTAAATAAGATCCAAAGTGCACAATAGATTTGGTGAAGTGAGAAGAAACTGTTCAAAAGGTCAGAGAAACTGGGATGGGGGAAGGAGAAAGGAAGTGAAAAGGAAAATATATGTGTATACACACATACACACACACACACACACACACGCGTGCACAAAAAGTTTTACCACTAATTGCTATTAGTTCAGTAAAAAGAAATGTTTGTCCCTATATTTTTTGATCAAATTTTCATGCCTTTATCTTGTACTATAAGCAAGTATTTTGAAAATAACATACACAATGTATTAATCAATGTTACTCTCCTACAGTCTTGTTTTGGAATTTTGTATCATTGTTTTTCCTTTAAAATAAAAAAAAAATAGAAAATTACCAATGTCAAACTTGAGAAAGTAAACACAGTAACACAGAGCTCCTCTGGATTGGTTTTAGTAAACATGAAAAACTAACCTAAATTTAGTAAACATGAAAAACTAACCTAACTAATCAAAGTAAGATGCCTGGATGCCTGGATGCCTGGATGAGGAAATGAAAGAGACAGAGAAAAAGAGAGAACAGGGGAAAGGGAGATGAAAAATACACAAAGCCCAAAAGCAAAAATATTTAGGTGTCTGTTCTTCATATTATTTACTACTGTGTGACTCTAGAAAATTAAATTTTATTCTCAGTAATTGTCTGAATTCATAAATGATGGCTAAAAGTATACTCTAAATCCTTCTAGATCTAAAACACTGCTTCACACTGAAGGAAATTTTTCTGTTTCACAGAAATGAGAAGCAACAGAGCATTCCACACAGGCATAACAGTAGGTTCCACTTTTACTCAGATGACCCAATTTTAGTGCCTTATGACTGTGTATCAGTCAGTTCCTCGCCCTTTATTACAGATGTGAGCTTTAAATATATCTTTGATCTGACAGTCCTGGTAAAACAGACACAAAAATAATTAGTAAGATTGTAGCACCGAGAAGAGAGGAAATAATTTTGAAAACCCATATATATGATATTTGTGCTAGACCCTGGAGAGTGAAATTCTGTCACACAAAAATGAAGATAAAAAGAGACATTAAGCAGCCTGACAAAATATTTAAAAAAGCAATATATATGAAAAACATATTCATTCAAAAGTGTTAAAAAGGGATCAGCAGATAGAATTTGCCAAGTTTAGGAAAAGAACAACATAGGAAAGATTTTGAATTCTATGGCGAATAACTACTTTAAATAAGCATACTAGAATAAATGCTTAAAAAAAGGGTGGGGCAGGGGTTTAACTCAGTTAGACCTTGCTGGCAAGCATGAGGTCATGAGTTTGATCCCCAGTACAAAAAAAAAAAAAAAAAAAAGACAAAGAAATAATACACTAAAATTATTATTAAAACATAAACAGTGAAAAAATTTAAACCTTACTATATTGAGAAGCAGCGTTTTACATAAATGAGGTCATTTTAGCAATCCAGCTTTGTTAAACTTCCAAATAACTGCAATTGTGTAAGCAATCCCCAGTCAAATTAAAAAGGACTGGATGAACCCACTCCAGACATCCTAACTGCACAGTTTTAAGCAAATGGTTAGACAGAACATAGGGTACTTTCATAACAAAAATTAAAAACAGTGTCATAGGCTTTGAGAGTAAACAGATTTTGGAGGCTGGAAAAACAAGGAGAATGTGCTCAAACCTGAAATATATATATATATATATATATATATATATATATATATATATATAATGCTGTAATTGGAAATAATCAAAGATCAATAACTCATGTTATAACATGAAAATAAATGGTGAGAATATCATCTGTAATAATCTAAAAGAAATTTTAAAAATCATTTGTTAATATTGTTGATGAAATTAAGAATGTATGCAGATAGCTGTTAAAGCTAGCAACTTGCACACAGGTCATTCTTATAAACAAGGACAGTGACTCAGATGGCAGAGTCAAGGTCAGCAAGAAAATCAAACGTCAAAGAGAGCTAAACTCGAGCAGTTCGACTGGGCTTTAGTCAGAGAACATTCCCTGCTCCTATGGCAGGGAATCATGACAGGGAATACATGGCACAGAAGCGTGAGGACACCTAATCCAATTTCAGAGCCACAGTGGGTCAGTCACTGCTGCATTCTCCACCTTTTGGAATGCGAGAGTCCTCTGCAATTATTCCAATTCAGACTCATTTCTACTGGGGGGAAGAACAGTAACTGACCTACTTAATTCTTAGTGTTTGGAATCAACAGAGGCTTCAGCTAAGAAGCTTCATGTATATCTGGAACTATAATGCTGTTTTGGAATTGCAACATGATGCCTTTCCTTTTGTACTGTGGAAAAGTTTAGTCCAGATTCTTAAAGGATAAGAGATCCCATAGAGAAACATCTTCAAAATGAGAAATATATGAAAACTTTATAGAAACTTTATCATAATTATAATCAATACTTTATGGATAAAATAACTGATTTCAGTATCAGTACGCCATGAGCATAAAATACAAGCTAAATTCCTCTAATTTCTGTTATGCATTACAAAAAGATAATGGACATTTGTACTCTGCCCATCCTCTCACGTTCCTGCATCCAGATAAACAATAATAAAGATAATAAGACACAAAGACAGACAAGTAGAAACTCTAGACAAGCTGCTACTGTTCATCATTTGTCCAAATTCATCTCAGCAAAACAACTGAAGAACTTTTAATCATTAAAATATAAAAAGAAATTTCACAATATGAGCATAATGAGTAATAAAAAGTCTAGTGGCCATAGTAGCTGCATTTAATCTTGTGGTCAATGCCATAAAAATGCAAATATTTAGTAATGACAAATCAAATAAATCATTACTGAGCTATTCTTTAAGCATTTTAAAAACTGTAATTATTACCTATCAATATAAATAATGACTACTTAATTAAAACTGTAGGAAAACCATATGGTTGTTAGGTATAATACATTTTTCACAAGCTCTTATTATCTTCTAAATTTCACTAAATAATTTATGTATACAAAGTTTTCATTACCAAATTTCCATAAATATTTTATAATCCTCTCTAGAATCATTTATGTCTTATTTTTCTCCTCTATAGTCCTTTTATTTTATTTTTCGTGGGTACCAGAAATTGAACACATGCCTTCATGCTTGCCAGGCAGGTGCTGTACCAGTGAGCTATATCCCTGCCCTTTATAAATCTTTTATACATGAATAAAAATGTTAGATTCATCCTTTACTGATAAATACAAATCAAATATATTTTGCAATTAAATAGAGGAATGGTAATTCATGTTTTCTAAAATATATACTACAGACATCTAATGTTAATATTAAAATTCTCTAACACCAAACATGATGATTCACTGAAATCAATAGTGTACTTTTAAAAGTAGAGAACCCAAGTATTTTATAAACATAACCTCTACCTGCATACAAGTGAGTTTCCTTACTGATATTTCTCATTCTTTTAAACTAATATGAAATATAGCATCAACAAAAGGTGGTAAATTCAATGTAGTACAATAGGAAAATATTGTATAATTCATCACTGAGAGGTAAATCTCTCTTATATGTTACTATTTACCAAAAAACCACTATTTTTATATTTTGTTTCAAATATGAGTCCTAATTTCAAATATAACAGATTGTAAAGATAGCTATATACAATTTTTTAATTTGTATATTCACTGGATTAATAAACTCTCAAAGGATTACTAATGCAAAGAGCAGAAAATATTTTGTTGGAGACCAGAATAAACTGCTGACCATGAAGCGACCTCTAGCCATGTTGGAAAAGCTCATATTCACAGTGCTCTAAAGCAAGATAACACCACAGCTGAGGCAGCAGAAGACACAGGCTGGTAACCCTTCCTATTCTAGAATAAAGGTGCCAACTTAGAGATCAAACAGTTCTCTTAACTGGCAAACTTTACTGCTTGACAAAGCCTTTGAACCAACTGCCCAAGTTCCTGCTCAGTTCTTGCCTTGCCTCAGTTTCCCCTCCCTATGTTTGAAAGCCAAATAAATACAGGCTGTCCAGCACAGCTCTAAGTCTTCACTCCCAAGGAGCCTTTACTTCTGAGAGAGTTTTGACCTTCCAGGATTCCCTACAACCAATATTCCATTGTTTCTCATTATTTAAGCCATTTGTGGCACACTCGTTTTGGGATATTGGGGCTAGGCCAAATCCATGATAATAATCCATCTTGAACATTATTGAGATTTGTCACAACAACAGGAAAAGTATAGTTCTAAATTTAACTAGCATGATATGATGCTACTGTTTCCTGTTAATTAGCTCTTACATTCATGCTATTAAGAAAATTAAAAGCTAATGTGTTCTATGGGAGAAAATTGTTCTTAATAACAGCAAAGTATGAATTAAGCTCTTATTAGTTCTGCACTCAAAATCCATAAATGTAACTTTTGTATAAAATAGCCAAAATTTTTAAAAATATAAAACATGTATGAATTCCTTGTTGAATGAGCAATTCAGCTGTGCACTGATTTTAATTCAATATGAACAAGTATTGTTTTTTTCCCCAACCAACTAAGGGATAAAAATCAGACAAATCCTTATTTTGAATCGCCACTACATTTTGTTGCTACTGTTGATGTTTCTTTTCTCCATAAAAAATGGATAACACAGAAATGTATACTGGTTCATTCCTTTGCTGAAAACACTATGAGAACTTTTTCCCAACAGGGAAAAAACAAGGTCAGCCATTTTCTTATAGTTAGAATTTTCTTTCACAATTAGCTATAAGGCACTTCAATCAAAGCTTATTTGAAAATTCTTGTAGAACACATTTACTTTTCAAAAATAATGACTATGAAAGATAAATTACTGCTTCTTTCTTACCATGACAAGAACCCTCAATTTCTTCATATCCAGTACTGCAGATGCACCTTCCAAGTGGCACCAGCCAATCCCCATCAGCTCCACAGTACAGTTTAGGAGTATCACGCTCTTCGGCACTCTTCACACAAGATCCCCTTACTTCAACCAAAGAGGAAGAATCAACCCTTGGTATGGTATCAGGAAACACGGCCAAGTTTCGAACAGTGAAAGGGCACTTTTTGTAGAAAACACGGACTGAGACCAGGGCGATGCATGCTCCAATGTCTTGAAAAGCAAGATAAAATCCTTTTCTTTCTATAGGCCCCACTTCACGAATTTCAGTGTTGAGTTTGAGGATGCGATCACCCAAATCCATTTGGGTAAAACTCTCATCAGCAGCAATTGTGTCAATCTTTGTATACTGGCTTGCTTTGAATTTAATTCCATGAGACTCATCTGATTCCATATAATGCAAGTTAAATGTTTCTTTGCAAGTTCCCAAGACCCATGGGATGCTATTACAATCCCTCAGTGTAAACTTCATTTCCACATATATTTTCTGAGCTGCATCACGAGAGATCCAGTTTGTGCGAAGCCAGTTGTTTTGGTTTGGTTCCATGACATTGCATACCTGGTATGTGTGAATGGGCCTGTTGTGTTCATCCATTTCAGTGATGGCATCCCACTACAAAAAGGGAAAAATAAGTGATTGTAAAATATCAATTTTTAAACTTAAGTTATTATTTTCCAACATTCAAAAGAGTAAAAGTGAATGAAAAGGACACAAATGAAGCTATTTGAAGAAAGAATGCAGCAGCATTTTTGGAATGGAAACGTTGCTTGAGAAAAGTTTCTGAAACTGACCTTCCAGAATCATACCTTCATACACAATTACAGCACAACGAAACAAGATTTAACTTATTACATTTAATTTCCACAACTCTAAAATGGAACTGGTAATTTATCTGTTTCACAGGGTTGCTGTAAGACATAAATTATTTAAGTGTATATAAAGAAGATCTTGGGAAACTAAAATCATACAAAGTCGTATGTATTGTCTTATAAAAACAACAGAATTCATGACACTTGCATTCTTTTATTTGTCCTCATATCCAAAATTCTACAAATTGAGGCAGTTTACCAGCATTTAGTGAAGTATTTCATTGCTATTTTAGAAAAAATAAGAGAATATATTTTTCTTAAATTTATTCAAGAAAAATTTATCAAGATACTATTCTGGACATGAGAATATGGCAGTTAACTAGCTGCACAAAAGCTTTTTGGAGATTATAGTGGAGAGAGACAATAGAAATTATAAATGGGTTTAGTGAATAGCATGACAGAAAGTACAATGGGAAAAAATTTAGTAACAGAGGTAAAGAGGAAGAGGGCTACAGTTTTAAATAGGGTATCTAGAAAGGCCGTGCACAGGAAGTGGTACTCAGCAGTATCTTAGGGGAGAGAACGCTCAAAAAGTAAGTACTCAGGCTGGAGTTATGGGTATATTTTAAGAACAGCCAGACCAGATCCGGAACCACACTATGTGATGTAGATAGTGAGAAAGGAACAAACAAAATGCCTTTATAAGTATTTTAACCACTCTGGCCTTTAGTATTCTGGGGTAGATTCCTGGATGACTTTCCCTTGTATGTGTCATATACAAACATTTTATCACAGGGAGATGTTGTTACTCTTTTTCAAAGAAATTCTTAAAAATGGATGCATCTTGAGATCATAATGTAAAGTAAATCAAACACAAACAAATATATAGTTTCTCTTAAATGAAAAAAATCAATATATAAATAAAGTGTGAAATAAAAAACAAAGAAGGAAAAAAGAAAGTTTTTGTCATTCAACATGAATTGTATCTAAAACCAACCCTTGATTTAGTAAGAGTTGTTTTTTTTTTTTTTTTTTTTTTTTTGCCTATTGGTCTTGTTAATCTCTGTATATGACAATACAATTTATAGTGATATAACATGAATGAATCTGATAACTGAAAAATAAGATGTTGAGAGGAAAGGGAAAGAAGAGAATTGATGTATGTTAGGTACATGTAGTAATTCCTACTATGAATGTAATCATTATGCATTATGAAAATATACTAATAAAAATTAAAGATTAGAAAAAGAAATTACTAAAGCATTTGACTGCCTTGAAATAAATAGGTATTACCAGTATTTAAACATTTTACATAGTATGTTTCTATGCTGTAAATTTGCACAGTTCTAGAATCATTGCAGCCTTTCAGGGAGAACGTGCTAGTCACCACAGTTGATCATTTCTGTTAGAGTATACTGGAAATGATAAACCATCTTCTACGGTGCCTAAGAGTTTCCTTTCTTGATACCATTCATCAGTGATTTATAATAAAATTATTCAACATATTCTGTTTGCAGTTTCTCATTTTAACTGATTTTAGAGATTCATTTAATCAAAGCTGGTTGAATTTCAATTAGTACAATTTCCAACAGAATGGCTACTTTCTTTAGTATGTAAGACTGTGATGACATAATTGTTAATTATCTACTATAAATTTCTACAAATAATCGTATTATGTACCCAGAAAATTTAAATACAACTTATACCTAAAAATTTCATTGGTATCAGAGGATATATTCCAGAAATATGAGTTCCTTTAAAATTGAGGTTATAATTTTACAACATATACTCACTATTAATCAGGGAATTTATAAATTACTCCTCTAAAATCCTTTCACCCTAGCATAACACAGGTCTTATGACATTCTTTTTTATTTAAAAAACATAAAAAAGAGATAACAGAATTTCAAAAAACATTACAAAAACCACTTTATTAACACTAGTTAATATACTGTATGTTGACAGCAAACACTAGTTCTTTCAGTTTATTAATATGCAGGCTAATCATTCAATATAAAATCATGAGCCAAAATCATAAGCAATATGATGTAGACTACAAAGCATGAGGCCCTGAGTTTGGTTCCTACTACAAAAAAAGTTAGATGATGTTATTAGTAATAAAGTCTCAGTATGGCTAAATCAATGCTCAAAATTCTGAGTATTTCTCAGGAAAATCTCAGAAGCACTTATCTAGTGATTGCCCTTATTTTGGATAAATTTCTAATCAGAATTGATTTTGTTTCTAAGAGAACACGTAATCATTGTCATTACTATATCCTTTAATCTTATATCAGAGTAAAAATCTACTCAATAAATACAGTTTGAATAATTTTAATACTCTGAGATTTAGGTTCTCATGCTAATAAAAAGCATTGACATGCTCATTAAACAACTCTGTAAAATATGAGATTAACTTACCAGAAATGTGAAAAATCCTTTAGTTGGAAAAAATTTAAAAATTTATTACATTTAATAAAAAATAATTTGGTTTGGGAGATGTTTTAAAAAAATAAAATGTTCAAGAGTGAAATAAAATGAAAAATATGAATCTTCTCAAAGATTGTGCATTAGAATACTTAAAATAGTATGTCATTTTCCATGTTGTTTGTGATGTGTGATGAATAATAGATTTCTTTTCCTCTCACTTACTTAAAACATTGTTTTGAAGAATTTGCAAGTCATCATAGTCAATCATTTCTGCTGTACTATACTGGAAATGATGTACTGGGTACCAAACCAGTCAAAACAGATCAATTACTCTCTTAACAAAATAATAATAATAATAATAATAATAATAATAATAATAATAATAATTTACATCAGATTAAACTCCCTAAAACAAGTATGTAAATTCAAGACTGGTACAAACATAACAAGCTATGAAGTTCACTATAAAACATAATAGTACAGGTAGAAATTTTTATATATCTTATTATATATCTTGTTGGTTCATTATAATTTTCATTAAAATAAACAGGGCCTCCTAAAGATGAAGGTTCAGGTAAGAATGAGTTTAGGGGCTCATGCGTCATATGTCTAAAATGTTTTTAAATGATAAATTATGTTTTAAATACATTTAATTAGGGGGTAGGTATTTAGCTCAGCAGCATAAGCCTGCCTCGCAAGCAGGCAGTCATGAGTTTGATCCCTGGTACTGATTAAAACAAAAAAGACAAAAAAAATTAATCTATTTTACTTTGTAAAAATAATCTCATAATAACCTAAGCAGCCAGATTATATTCACAATACCTAGATTCCTTAGAATTACAAAGGAGCATGTGCTGTGTTCTACAGAGAGCCAGCTGTTAACCTTAGTCAATCTCATTTCTATTTCATTGCCTGATTTCCATCTCATACCATGAGAAGCTTCGCATGTGTGCATCTATGATCATCCAGTCCCTCCTTAGCTACAAACAACTGCCAGTTTTGGTCCTCCATTCTTGTTGAATACAAAAGTGCTACAGTAATAGTCAGTGGAGCATCAATTCCAGTAAGAAATCATGGGTTCCTCAAAGTAGATTTCAGCCTATTTCATTGATAAATTCTGGACTCTTGAATATCTATACTATGGTACACAAAAAAAGCATAGGATTTAATTGGCAAACATCCTGACCCTTCCCCTCTAGCTAGAACAATAGGCAAAACTATCTAAAGCTCTGGCACAGACCATGATCTTCTCCTTCCTTGGTCTAAAGATGGTAATCATGATTAACAATCCATGTGGAAATATGAAATACTATCATTATTCTTTCAATAAAGAATGTATAAATTTATGTTCTGCTTCATTAGTGTACAGTTAACATAAACATCCATTTCACAAAATTTTTTACATTATAAAATGTATTGTGAATCCTGCAGATCACATGTCAAGCAATCAACAATATTAGTGAATTTATAGCATATTTTATGTCCCATAAGAGAAGTGAAGAAAGATATAAGATTTAAGCTTACTGATAGAAGATAGTTTTAAGTTAAATTATGAAAATGTAATTGATATCAAAGCTTTGGATATAAAGAAATATTACCTGTGATAAATAAGTGTTCAAGGGACAACAATATTAATGAATTAGGGTGGTTTGGAAGACTTGGTAATGAAAGAGGAACTTGAACCTTAAAAAATTAAAAATTTAGTAAGGCAGATGAAGAAAGTAGAAATTTAAGCATAAAACTAAGATACTTATGCATACTTTTAGGCAATTTTAGCCCTGCACCATATACACCCAGTGAATTAAAGTTTTGACTTAACTGTAAAAATCAAATACAGAAATTATATGATGAAAATATGTATCAATCCTGCCACTGATTCTAAATTGGCTATTGCTTACTTAGGACTCAGGTAGGAAACCCAAAATATCCCAACTCCTCAACATTATATTTTAATATATATTTAATGTAAGACTTAAGATAATGTACCATTTGGTATAACTCATATCTGGAATGTTCCACAAAAATCCATGTGTCAAAGTACCCAGCCAACTAGGAAGTGGTAGAATTTTGAAAACGTGGAATGAAGTTAGATCACTGGGTAAATGATCTTGAAGGGGACTTTGGGGTCCAAGGACCTAAGAGAACCATCTGGAAGACGCTTCTTGAGCAAAGAGCAATTATCTGCATTTTGGCTAACCTGGACCCATATTCATGTATTGATATGTACAGAGATGGCTAGGTATTTCCTTATCTCTTCAATTGGCTTTAAGTGATGCAAGTTGGTCTAGCCAGCCAAGATGCTTATGTGTAGTCTCTAAAGCAAGTCCACAGTGTTACCTGACACTATGGCTTCCAAAAAACATATATGAGCTGGGC